ACTGTGTGCCAAGCCCACGTTTCTGGGACAGGTCACGCTCTTTCAGTCATGAAAACAGGCTCTGTAGGTCGCTGTTACCTAAATGGCCCTATTTCTGTGCATGCAATTCTCAGTTTGCCGGTTGTTGCTTAACTGGGGGCGCACAGCGTGCTCCCCTGCGTGCTGTCTCACAGCGACGTGGAACCAGACTTGATGTCCTTGAGCCCTGTGGACAGTCGCTTACTCTCCTGGGGAAATGGGCTTGTTTGAGAAATGAGGTACTCCCCTTTGGAAGTATCCCTGTCTGGGTCCCTGGGGTTGTACAGGCACACTGACTACATATGTATCTTGACTTTCTTGCAAAGTCATTCCTGCAGTATTTTGCTTATCATTTTTTTCTTCAGAACTGATGAAATGAACTCTTTGGCAGGTTGCAAACATCTCCTTAACAGTGCAGATGGTGCAACAAGTGAATGCCTTCAGGTTAACTGATGAAACAGAGGTACTGCTTTCATCTTCATGTCCGTTGGTAATGAAAAATACACGGGTCAAAAATATATGGTTGAAATATATGGCCTACTGAAAATGACAGCCCTAGCCACTTTGTGCCAGAGAGCTTGTCCTAGGTTTGATACTAAGAACTGGTAGCAGCTTTAAATTTTTTTTTTTGGTTCTCTTTCTGGTTTTAGTAGACTTCGATAATAAAAAAATCTACTTAAATTAATATCAGAATGGAAACCCACAGTTTTGAGGTGTTGGCAGTGTGATGTTTTCCCTTGAATTATCCCATACCAATAGCTTGGATGACTGCTGAGTTACTCTCATGTCTTGCTTTTCTGAGTCATGACATTTCAGCATTCTGTAAATCCCATTATACCCATTATTGGTTTAGTCTAGAGAAGGGAAGACTGGAGAAGATATGGTAACAACATTCAAATAAGTCTAAAGCAGTTGCATAGAATGAGGGATGAAATTATTCACCAGGACCGCTATAGATAGAGAAAAAGTAATGACATTAAGTCACAGCAAGGAAGATTTAGATCAGGCAGTAGGAAAAGCTTGGGTAAGGGAGGTTGTACCCAGGAGTAGGTTGCTTGGAGAGCGTGGAAGATCCTCTCGTATTCAAGTTGTTTAGAGCTGTAAAAGGCTTTCTAGGCAAGGTGCTGTCAGGAATGCAGACTGAGTGGAGGTATGCCTTCGCCGTACAGGACACATTTTCCATGCTTCTGTGTCAGAGGAGGAGTGTTACCATTACAGCCCATCCCTTGCAGAATGTATTGCCCACCTTTACCAGGCTTAACCGTTATCAGCCGTTTTCATTAGCTGTATACAAGAAAAATTCAGAGAGTCTGTGATGAATGCAGCTAACAAGATACTGTGTATTCTTTAGTGGTTTAGAATTAAAAATTCATGCAGCATGAAAGAAATAATCATTATAGTTCAGTGGTCTCCACAGCCACTTGCCACCCACTCACCATGTCAAACTCAGCATGATATTATGTTAAGAATAATAATTATGCTTTTACAATATCATGGGAACTCCCAAGCACTCCACCACCAGAGGCATAGGGAACTATCAAGCATATGTGCATCACATTTGGCTTGAGCCCTAAGCAGTTTATTATTCCAGCTATAGCGAGGCTGTTTCCAGCTCCTGCCCCAGTGAACAAGACAGCGAACAAACAGGCCTGGAGAAACCAAGGAAAGAATTCCCAGTCGTGATTTATCATGGCAGTAAAGTGTTGACCACAGACGATTCCCAAGAGATAACTGGAGATAATGCCCAGATTATGAGTCAAAGCCAAAATGGTGCATTAAGTGCAGGGGACAGTTTTGGCATTGAAAGAAGTTTCATGGCTTTGCACAAAGGCTGCTGTGAAAAAAATGACGGTATCGATCATTGCTTTTATTCTAGGGAAGGACCCAAGGATCCACCAGCAAGTTCAGTGTGCTGCAGTGGCCGTCTGAACCTTGTCCATGGGTGGTTGGTTAGTGCTGTTAGTGAGACTTGTCCTGGTCACTGGGGAAGGGATGCCTGCAGGTTGACATTTTTATGGGTCTCACCAGGGGTTTGGCATCTGTGAAGGGTCTCTGACGAATGCCAGTGGGACCACTCCGCTTGATGTGAGTTGCTGTTCAGCTGGAGCTCAACACGTGTTACACCAAAGCTGGTGTGATAGGAGGCTGTTGGCAAAGGGAGCAGCTGTGCTCTCCTGAGATCTCTGCTGCACTCTCACTGCTGCCTTTGTAGTGGGTCTAGAGGTTTTCTGGCCAGAGGATTAATTTGTGCATTTCAGGTGACTCTGTAGACAATAAATGTCTAACTAATGTAACAGTAAATTAGTTTTTCATCCTATCAGTTTAACTGACTTTCCTTACAGGTTGTGATTGCTAAACTTTAGGAAGGGTAGGAACAGGTAGGCAGAAGCAGGTTTGCATCCGATCAGGTTACAGCCTGACATCGGGCCAGATTAGACATGTTGGGAAGCCACATCCTCCAACACAGCATGCGAGAGGCTGCGGTTGTCCCTTGGGGGTTTCTGAGGAACAGATTTTCAGCAGAGCCAGACTTTTACTGTCTGATCTCAGTAACAACTTTCTTATCTTAAAAAAAAAAAGACTGCAAAGAATTAATAGAGAATCTGTATCTGTGGTACGTGAGTTCGCATTCTTAGGTGCTGTGCTGTTTATTCAGAGCCATTTACTCCTCTTCATTGAGCAGGCATCCTGCGCTTGATCATTTTACACATACAGGACTGCTATTTGCAATCCAGCTGTCCCTGCAAATATGGTACGTCGGCTCCAGTGTGGGACAGGTGTAGGGCTGAAATGACTTTTAAAGTTGCTGGAGTTATTTGTTTTATCCCATACAGATTTCAGATCCCCAAATGTAAAAGGTGTTATTAGTTCCAAAATACACGTGAATCTTTCAGTTGTCAGTGCAATATATTGCCATGCTGTGCGTTCCTTTGTGCTTTTGTTTCTTGTGTTGGACCGAGATAAGAGGTAATTAGATTAGCTGGGAGGAATATCTTCAGTGAATTTAGCGTGGTTCCTTTGCAATGTTTCTAGTTCCACATTTTACAGAAGTGCACATACAGGAGATTATAGTTGTATGCAAAAAAGAAAAGAAAAGTAATTAGACGAAATAAAAGAGAACTCACTAGTGATATTGAGCTTGTAAGAGCAGCAACTTTCTGAAGAAAATGAGAAGGATGCATGCCAGGGTGTTAGGGCAGAAACTGTGCGTTCAGTGCTTCATTTTAGAAGGAGGTCAGCCAGCAAGGCTGGAGGCTGGTTTACCTTTCATAGGGCATTGTTCTGGCTCAACAGTGGTTTAAAAAAGAGGTCAGGCATGAAAGATTAGTCTTGCAACACTTCCAAATGTGAATGAATGCTCATGTTAATAACTGCAGAGAGTAAGCTGGTGTGGCAGCACCCACAACCTATTTCTGGAGCCTCTCTGCCCTTGCTATTGGCATGGTTTCCCCTCAGTCCATCTGCAAAGACCTCCCTTTTGGCAAGAATATCCTTAGGTGCTATGCTGCTCCATTCATTGAGTGATAGCTGCCTCCAGACATTCTTAATAAATCAGCTGATTTAGAAACTGTGAGTTGATGTGCAATGTCCAATGAACACAGTCCCGTCTTTGTGCTGCTCCTTACAGAAATCCGTAAGACCCCTTGTGGGACCATATTCATTGAAAACAGTAACATTTGCTTTTCTGTCTCTTACAGGTTCTCCAGCTGGGATCTGATATTCTTCCTCAGTACAAGCAAGAAGCTCCAAAGACTCCACCACACATTATACTGCACTACTGTGCTTTTAAGACCACTTGGGACTGGGTCATCTTAATTCTAACCTTCTACACAGCAATTATGGTTCCATATAACGTCTCCTTCAAGACAAAACAGAACAACATTGCCTGGCTCGTGCTGGACAGTGTCGTGGACGTTATTTTTCTGGTTGACATTGTTTTGAACTTTCATACGACCTTTGTTGGCCCTGGTGGAGAGGTTATATCTGATCCCAAACTCATAAGGATGAACTACCTGAAAACATGGTTTGTGATTGATCTTCTGTCCTGTTTACCGTATGACATCATCAATGCCTTTGAGAATGTGGATGAGGTAAGTGATTGTAGTCTGCCTCAAAAGGATTGTTTTAATTAGGAGTTAATTTAGGAGCATGCTCCCAGGCATCTGGCAACAATAAGAGGCAACTGAAGCCCTGTGCAAATATGTGGGAAAGTCCTTCAGTGGCTGGGCTTTACCTCCAGCATTCCTGGAGTTGGAGAAGAGTGTCTTACGATTTCAGTGCCACGCGTGGATGTGTACATTAACAGATGTGGGGTTTAAAATCACTTGCTTGTCATCCAAAAGCACCGTTGCATGTCCATATCATATGGGCTGGACCAGTTGGGATGTCCCCCTGGCACAGCCTCCCTTTTCAGCTTGTTCCCAGTGATTGCCTTTAACCAGTCCTAATCCATTGCAGGGCAGAGCTTGATGTAAATAATCAGAACTGCTCTGGCTGAAACTGGTGGCAAATTTGCCACTGACTTATATGAAAGTACAGAATGCCTCTGAATGAGTGTTTTTAAAATCCTGCCTTAGGATTCCTTTTTGAACCATGCTGTAACTATTTTTTTGTGTGTGTGTGATGTCTTTTTAAATGTCTGATTGAGAGGGAGACTTACCTCCATATTTTCAAACAGTTCTTGAGCTACTGATGGAATTGTAGAAAAAGATTGAAGAGAGAAAACATAAATATCTTAAACAGACACTGAATTACAGCTTTTTAACTGCTAAATGTATTAACATTTACAAAATCAAGCTTGCAGCCTAAGATAATAGAGAAAACAAGCAATAACTATGACAAATAGTGCATGCACAAGTCAGTGTAGAGAAAATTTATTAATAAAATGCAACTATAATGGCATTAGGACTTGTTTTAATTTTTCTTTAGAGCCTTTTATCTTTAGGGCTATAAACAGGTGAAAAAAACTATGTTCATATTTCAACATTTCAGCAGGTTTTTTTTCTTAGAACACTGTTGAGTGGTGGTTTTCTTTTCTTTAAATTCTCAAATTCTGCAGTTATATATTCTCACTATATAAAATCTACATTTTTATTTTTTAATGCAGACTTTGGTGCAGATTTTGTGTAGCTCCTTTAAAATTCCATCCCTGTCTCTGTGCTAAGTACCATCTTTTGACATTGTTCCATTTTATTTATAGCAAATATGACAGAAGTGATAATACTTGCAGCTTAAATTCAAGATCGTATGAGGGCTGCCTGTCTGGAAGCAGGTTGTACAGTCAGGCTGTGTAAGGAGGTGGTATTATCAAGGTTGTAAATATAATACAGCTTTTTAAGATAACCACTTTCAGACTAAGACGGACCTGATTTTTATAAAAATGCAGCGTTCTCTCCTGATTTTTGTGCTTTAATATGTAAAACAAACAGCAAATCTGTGTGCCCAAGCAGTACAGATTTAAATGATGAGCTTAACCTCTTTCTCTAAGATATAGATGGGAAATAAACCATCTGCAACATTTGTGACACTGAGGAAAATGATTGGCATAGTGCACTATAACTGAGGCATGCTTCAAGAGGCAAACTTTAACCAAAATGTAGTAGCAACAGCAAGGTATCATGGGCTCCAGTGATCCTAGAGCTGCTATCTTTTACCTTCAAACAAATAAAATAACTCCCTTTTAATAAGAGAACCAACAGTAACATTTCTTTTTCGTGAAATGATGTGTTACGGCCCTGCAGCCTCCAGCAGATGTTGGCGTATAACTGCTTATGTACTTGATTTCAAACCCCTACCACTCCAGTTTTCCCTAGTGCCCAAAAAGAATTGAAGTGATTTTGGTAACAGGTATGTAAACAGTCAGTCTTTCTTCCTTGGGTCTACATTTTCCCTTTTCTTTGTCTTCCAGGGGAGATTTTTTTTTGGGGGGGGGGTGATACGTCTTCATTTGTGACATTTAAGTCTTTTGAGCTGGTTGGTGTGTTCTGGGTGGTTGTAGTTATTAATGTGCTTTATCTTCATTTGGCTTTTGACATTTATTTTAGCTGGTACGTCTTTTCTGGGATTTAACTTTTTGGCCCGCTAGCAGCAGTGTGCTCAAACACTGTTCCTAGGTAAAGAATAAGTAAGTCAATAAGCTTAATTTGTAAGAAATACTCTGATTAATTAAAAGGAGAATATTTCTCGTTAGAAGGTGAGTGTTTCCTCCTTAGGCAAGTACAAGAGAGAAGAGTTCTTTTAGCTCTTGATTCTGGTAGGGTTTAGCTCTTTATCTTGGCCCTGGGTGTTGGATAAGGGCGTTTGTCTTTAGCATTAAAGTTGGTGATTGTAGCATTTCAGAAAAAGTTGACAGAAGATCAGAACTTAGTGGTAAAGACCTTGGGCGTAGGTCCTGGTGCTCTTTGAGTTCTCGGTATGGTGGTGAAGGATGGACCCAAACCAGAGTGAATAGCCCTAAAAGCCAGCTGAGTGAAAGATGACTTTCTAAATTTCCCTTGTCTGTCCCACCTCCATCCCTCCTTTCTCCACACAAAGCATCAAAATGCACTTTTGTTAGGTGCTAAGGGACTGGGGGGGGGCATGGGGTGTTTCTTTTTCTCCCTACAGGCAGGTCTCTCATGCATAAAGAAGGATATGGCCAAGGAAGTTTAGGTTTGTGTTTCTCCACTGTAGATGTAGACTACTAATGGTGATACAGGTGCTTGAAGGTTCTCATGCAGAGGCTGCTGAGTCATTGTGTAAGATGCCTTGTGCACTTGAGTGCTATTTTATAATGTCAGAATTAAGGAGATAAAAGATTAAAAAAATGTGTTGGAAAAAGGAAATATGTTTTATTACTGAGGGTCGGAGTTCTTCAAATGTAGTCAGTAAAGGCTGGAGTAGGAACAGTGTAGTTTCCATCATGGACAACATTAGGCCAAGGCTGGAGTCTTGTGAAATTCAAAGTTATTTTGTTGTTAAGTGGGTGTAGAGCCTCAGTAGAAGGTTATGATGAAAAGGATTATGACACACAAATTGAGAACTGGGGGGGGGGATTAAGATGATTTGAGGCAGAACTAGAGGTGTAGGTTTCCATGCCTGGAGTTACAGAGCCAGTCTCTCAGGGGGATTTGGGTGTATGAGGAGGAGGGGGAAAGGTAAGATAATGAGAGAGAGAGATACCTTGCACAGCACAGAGTGATCTAAATTGGTGTGATGGATGAGGAATTAAGTGGCTGAGTGGTATTGAAAGGGGAGGAAAACAAGGTAAAATAGGCTGGAGAAAAATGAGCTGGGAGAGAGGGAAGTGGAATCCTTAGAGGGACGCGTACTTTATTTAAGAAAATTGGTGGGATGATAGTCCTAGAAAACAGAAAAATGCATGACATCTTTTCTAATTGGGAAACATTACTTGCACTGAAATACATTCTGGCTAAACCAAAGCCATACAGAAAACCTTTCATATATAGAAGTGTGAGAAGGGACACTATAAAACATACCGAGGAATCCAGCCAATTTTCAGGGTACGAACCAGAATGGAGGGGGTGTGCTCAGAGCCTCTGAAACTAGGCTGATTATTATTTTTTTTTTTAAAGTAAAAGAGTTCTCTGAAACTTCAGATTTAGTCCAAAAGTGCACGTCTGTTTGTCTCTTCCTCTAAATTAAAAAAATAAAGGAAAAAGTTTGGAGTAATGGGGGAGATATGGTGTTGGATCCAAAGATTTTGCTCACATGAAGTTCCTATTATTACTAGGCTGTGAAGTATGTAGCGACTGGTAGTTGGAAATTTTTTTTTGTCCTGGAGTTACATGAAGTAATTCTGTTTTTTCCCCTGAGTACTTAGGTGTATGTTAGCAAGTCTTTCCATTGGTACATGCACCATCACTTATGTTTCTAAAATCATGACTCTCTACTTTTGAAGCTAGAGAATTATGTGACCTTGAGGCTTAGCCTTTATGTGTTCTTCCTACTAGAGAGAGATAAATATCCAACCTCTGTCAGTCTGGGCTACCAAATGTTTGGTTATAGCGTGGGGAACCATTGATTCTATACAAGTCACAATTATCAGAGTCACACTGTGCTGAAATTGCCAGCAGAGGGGTTTACAGGGTGCCTGAGGACGCTGATCCCATTGCTTGCTCAGGCATGGCCAAACCATGCTACAACTCCCTTTGGGACAAAATGCATGGATTTACATCCTGGGGAAGCCAGGATGTTGTGCAGGTGCTTGGCTCTTGTCCCCAGATGGAGCCATGCAATTGGGAGAGTACCTGGAGCTGGAAGGACCTCAGGTACCCCCACTCAGGTACAGGCACGCTGATACAGTGCTGCCGAGGGTTGCGTTTCAGCCTCTGTAAATTAGTACATAGAATAAATATTCCCAAGGCTAGCTGGATGGACAAGCTTTTGGCCAAATGGAAAATGCTTCCACAAACCAAGTATTAAATACAGTTGAAAAAGCCCCCTTTGCTATTTGGAAAAATATTGGTGTCTTTTTTTTTTTTTTTTCTTCTGGGAATTTTCACTGAGATTCATGAATTCTTGAGTTTGTAATGAAGTAAAACCTAGAAGCTTGATCCATCTCTGCCAGAAACATGGTGCTAAGATGGAGAAGAATGGGACCAAATGTCAGGCTGGACCATACAGATAGCCAAATAGGTCATTTTCAAATGAGTTGTACAAAAGATCACCCTTTCTGCGAAAGTTACTTTTCATGAGCCAATGGCTGGAAGTGAAAGCAGTCAAATTTAAGACCTAAACCTCTGAAGTTCTTTGTCTGTTGTTTAATAATGTAAGACTACGTGACCAATGGCTTTTAAAATTTAGTGATGTGTTCAGGATATATTAAGGAAGGGAATCCCTGTAATTGTAATCTTCTTTTAATTACCATTACAGATCTGTTTCAATGGTGGCAGAAATTTCTTTGCATCGCTGCAATTAATAGCAAGTAAACCAGCAATGTCTGTAAATTGAAAGCAAATAAAAGCTGATACAACTAGTTTAGCCATATTCACGTCGGCGGTGCTTTATTGCAAACGTTCCCTTTTCGGAAGCTATTTGAAGAAGGGTTTATGGACCCCAGTCTGAGTAACACATGCAAGGTGAAGATAAA